TAACTAACTGTATCTTGGCTAATGTGTTTTATATTATCTGAAGAGGATTAATAGTTGATTTAAATTTGTTTTTACCTCTTCTTTTTCTTTTGTATTTGTTTATTTACTTTTGACAATCAAATCAAGGATATTACATGTACATCATTTTGAATAGAGAATTTCACATGCTTAGGCTTGTAAAATGTTTCTTTTCTTTGCCACTCCTACCTTCCCTTTACCATCTACTCTTCTTCCTTACAGACTCTGGTGTCTATACTTTCTTTCCTACCATCATATTTTTGGATCTTTCCATTTCTACCAGAGAAAGCACACATTTGGTATATATTGAATGAGGATATACAGTGTTTGTCTTTCAAAGTCTAGCTTACTTCACTTAGCCGTAGGTGTTCTGGATTCAACCACTGTGAGAAAAAAGACAGTGCCAGGGACCAGCAGTTAGCATAATGGCTATGTCGCTGGACTCCCATGTAGTTGATCTCGGTTCGTGTCCCGGACTCGGTGGCTTAAAACACACGTCAAGCGTGTGTGCGTGCGTGCCCAAGATCTCAAAAGGAGAATGGAGGAGAAGGGATTGCGGCGTGGCCATCCCCCCTGGGGGGTGATTTCTCGCTTTCTGTCTTTCTGTCTGTCTCTATCTGTCTGGTGAGCGCACGCGCCCTATAGTGAAAAACTCTCCAGAAAAAAAAAAAAGACAGTACCTCATCGTTCTTTATTTCATAGGGTATATGTTCTGTACTTTTTCAACCCATTCATCATCATCACTTAGGTTGATTTCATGATTTCATGTGTTCATAATTTTGGAGGGTGCTATGATAAACATGGAAATGCAAGTGTCCTTCTAATTGAGTACTTTTTCTTTTCTTTTTCTTTTCTTTTTTTAATTCAGTGCTTGTGGAAGAGTGTGTGCATGGGAGAGGGGAAGAAAGGTTCCCCCTCCTCCATGGGGCCTGGTCACACTACATTCTTTTTTCCTCTAGTTCTCCATCCATCAGTATCCTAGGTACATGCTTGGCACATTTTTCGAGCTTTTGGGTGGGACTTGAACCCTGGTTGGTCTTGTAGGATCCACTTTCTTCTGCACTGTGCTTAACAGCTATGCTACAGGCCAGTCACTATCTTAACCTTTTTTCCTCTTTTTATTTGATCAAATTTAGCAAAAGTTTATGTATATGCCTCTATTTGAATTAATTCTCTAGGTCTTATATAATTCATCCGAATATAGGAAGTAGTACCAAAATTGCATTTTAATTCTATGCAAAACTATCAGTAAAACATTACTTTCTGAGGAGGAAGCCATTTCTTTTGGGAGGATTCTATTCTGTTTAGAAGAACCTTTGTGTTTGAGGTTTGGCTAAAACTGCCCATTACATGCTGTGAAGACCAATTTCCTTATACATTCTACAAATGTTTATTATAGAATTTTTTTTCTTTTTAAAGTGCACTACCAAGGATCCAACCCACATACTTCACATAGCCATACATGTTTTATTGTCCTACATTTTTCACTTAAGAGATCTACCTAAACTGTGAATTGTGAAAAAAAAAAAAAGCATATATAAATAAATATAAGGATACAAGGCAATAAGGCTTCATGTTAGCTAAATATTTTTTTTATGTGTTTTTGTTCTAAACATAAAGGAACTCTGGACAGTGCTCATTATAGTTTTGTTGGAGAAATGTTTACTTGAAAAGGAAAGAAAAAATAACAAAACACTGTATTTCATTTGGAACCATAGTTTTTCATTGTCAAAGGATACATGCACTGAGAGAGAGCAAGCGAATGAGAGAAATCACCACCCTGCTTGTTAAGCTACAGCACCTTTCCTTCTGGGTATATACACCCTAGTTCCTGGTGTGGTAGTCAAGGTTGTGAGGCCGGAATTCAAACTGTGGTCAACCATGTGGGATCCAGCTTCCCACTTAACCACTGCACTTACAGGGCTGGCCCCGTTTGGGACTGTTTTAAGGATATACAGTTTATCTCCTGAAAGTCTGAAATTGAAGTCTGTGATGATTTCTGTTTTTGACTAGAGTGAAATTTAGGTGCACTTTATATTTTTCTACAAACTAAATTGACCTATTTTTTGTTTTTCCATTTAGTCATTAGCAGGTGCTGATCTCTGGATATATTTAGTAAAAATGTTGTTTAAATTGGAAAAATCTACTCACAGGTATATCAACTGAGGTGGGAACTGTCAACAGTGTCCTTTGAAGGGTCTGAGGAGTTCTAAGGAAAAGGTTTAGAATTTGGCCCTCAGCTAGATGCCTTTCCTCCTGGGGACAAAACATCTTTCCTAGTTTACCTTCTAGAGAAGTTAGAATTTAGGCCTAGTGTGAGATTTTCATCTAGTCTGAGCATTTAATGAGAGAAGAGAATATGGCTTAGATATCTGCCTCATATAAATCGTATTTCACGATGTCAAAACAACCTGTTGATATTAGCAGTGCTTCCTATTGATTGAGGAAGGAAATACTTGTTTTGTTTCTGAGCATATTGCTCTCTAAACATACAGCTGCTGCAGCAGCCACTATGACACATACATACTCCACCCCAACTCCTCCAGACAAAAACTCCCCTGAATACTTTTCCTTTGGGGAACTATTAGGTCATCGGAAAAGTCATGCATTTTTGCATAGAAAAGAAGAAAAATATATTATGACTTTCCCAATCATCCAATGCATGATTATTGGTTCTGTAGAGAAGAGTAATACTTCAAAGAAGGGTTTTACTGTTGAGCTGGGTTTACCTGCTTTAGGTTAAAACAAGTGGCACAGGTGTGTATGGGTGTTGGGGGCAGGGGAGCTCTGTTGAAGGCAGGACTTCATAACTACCAAGGACTGTTCTCATTGTCATTGGGGTGCTATCCCTTTTACTGAAATATTTAAAGGCACCCCTTTAGATAATTCATGCTCATTAGTCATCTGATTAAATTTTACTAAAAATTTATGTGGTTCTTAAATAATGTTGAATTATTTCTTTGAAAGATTTTGGGAGTGGGTTTGGAAGGTTGTCATAGTATAATATGACAGACATGAAGTAATACAAATCCCCACTTTTAGTATACTTCTTGCCTTTGGCAATTCTTATTTATGCCAGCCATTGGCACTTTTTAAATTTTTTTTTTTTTGGAGAGGCTTTTGGTATAGGGCGCGTGTGCTTGCCGGAAAGACAGAGAGAGACAGAGAGACAGAAAGCAAGAAATCATCCCCCGGGGGAGATGGCCATGCCGCGATCCCTTCTCCTCCATTCTCCTCTCAGGATCTTGGGCCACACGGGCACGTGTGCCCAGCGTAAGTTTAAGCCACCGGGTCTGGGACTTGAACCGCAGTCGACTACATGGGAGTCCAGCGACATAACCATTACGCTGACTGCTGGTGCCCTTTTTAAATTTTTTTAAGGAAGAGAGAATTCAAGAGTTTTCATAGCATAATTATGGTTATAGTGCTTTATGCCCCCAAAAAAGGCATAAAGATGGGATCAAGAGACATTTCTATCTGGGCAGCTTTGTGAAAGAGACCTAAGAACCTAACTTGGTAGAGGGCTTCAGTTTTAGGCATCATGTCCGGCTCCTTTGCTTGCCAGTGAGAAGTGTAAGGTTTTTGCTACTATGGTCTGTTTTGAACATTTTGGGGAAGAGGTGGCTTTAGTATCATTTATAGGACTTGTTTACTGCTGATTTTAGAAGAAAAGTGTCTAGATTAGGAACATGCCTAGTCAGAAAGCAACTGCATTTACAAACATGGAAAAACATTTTACTCTGAGGTTACCTTATTGCAAAATGAAAGAAATCACTAAAAAGTTAACGTGTGGAAGGCATTTGGTTGGATATTTTTCATATTGATTTAGCAGCTACAATTATAATTAACTTTGAGGATTCAGGATTTGTCTCTTTTCCAGGAGAAAAACCATCAAATTCATAAACTTAATTTTAGGTAAATTTAAATGTTTGTTTTGCAGAGTGATTATTATAATTCATGACTGAAAAATACCTGATTGAAGATGATTTATTATCTTATGGTTGAGAAATATCTGTTGAAGTTTGGAAGATATAATAAATTGTTTTTTTCCATCTCCCAGAAAACTTTTATCCTCCTCCCTCTACCTCATGTTTTCTGTACTCTTCAACAAAAAAACCATTAAGGAATAAAATACTAAACAAAATTAAACCTTTCTTTATCCTCTCAGAGACTGTCTTGGAAATATTGTCAGATGAAAAGGAGGGGAAGGATATTATCTTTTAAAGTTTCCCTTTTATCTTCTTCCAATGTATTTAAAACCAGTAGGAATAAAAAAGATTTAAGAGTTGTTTTGTAAGCTCGATGTTGCTAGTTTTTTTTGTGTGTGGGCTGTCTTGTTTCACATTAGGGCAGGTGACATCTCACAAGTCCTAGGTTACTGTATAACTGTACATTTACAGGAGGAGTTGAGGAAAGTTTCATAGTGTATATTTGTACAGATTGAAAAACGACTTAGTTTTCTGTTTAAATTCTCTGGGGGTAGATGATAGCACCTAGTAAACACCACCTGCCTATTCTATACCTGGCCTTAAAGCTAGCCAAATACTCTTGGGGCTCATAGTATTGGAAGATTGGTTTTTGTGCCCTTGTTATGAATAATTAGTACCCACCACCCCTCCTCCCTATCCCCTTCACCCCTCCCCGTAGGGTGCTTGTTCCAGTCTGAACCTACCACAGTAAGACAAGAAAGGGCAGTGTTATGGAGACAGTTAGTTTGTGGATAAGTTAGGCCACTTCATTATAAAGTTGATGAATTTGTGTTTTTAGTTAAAAATGATAAATGTTCTCAGTGACTTTTCAGTATTAGCTATTATAGTATAGATTACTCTTTTCTGTGGAACTGAAGTGTATTTAATTTTTTTTTTTTTCGTTTTATAAAGAATGTCTTGTTGCGCCGTGTTTGCTAGACTGAAAGTTTCCTCATGGCTTGGTGAGACCCTCCTCTAATTCAATCTTTGTCTTTTGTCTTTGCTGCCTTGCAGGGTTGGTACAGTAGGCTTCACTAGACTTAGCTGCAACTCAGAATTTCTCCTCCAGCACCTGAGTAAATGCTGATGGTCTTGTGGAGAGTGGATTAAAAGTACGAGCTAAGTTCTCAATCCCAATTAAGAAGCGGAGGAAAATTTAAACTGTCTCCTTCAAAGTTTATCACAACCACCACCATCAAGACAGCAAACCAAAGGACAAAGACTTTGACCTGCTGTGTTGCTCTGTATAGTCCAGTTCACGTATGGTTTGCAGACTTGGCTGGGTTACTAATAAGTAAATAAACAGTTGGAAACTTCTGTCATTGGACGCTTTTATTCTCCAGTTCCCAGAATGAGGGCTGTGCTGGAGACAGCAGACATTGCCATAGTGGCCCTATATTTTATCTTGGTCATGTGCATTGGTTTTTTTGCCATGTGGAAATCTAATAGAAGCACCGTGAGTGGATACTTCCTGGCGGGGCGCTCTATGACCTGGGTAGCAATCGGTGCCTCTCTGTTTGTGAGCAATATTGGGAGTGAGCACTTCATTGGGCTGGCAGGATCTGGAGCTGCAAGTGGATTTGCAGTGGGCGCATGGGAATTCAATGCCTTACTGCTTTTGCAACTTCTGGGATGGGTTTTTATCCCGATTTACATCAGATCAGGGGTATACACCATGCCTGAATACCTGTCCAAGCGATTTGGTGGCCATAGGATACAGGTCTATTTTGCAGCCTTGTCTCTGATTCTCTATATCTTCACCAAGCTCTCAGTGGACCTGTATTCAGGTGCCCTCTTTATCCAGGAGTCTTTGGGTTGGAACCTTTATGTGTCTGTCATCCTGCTCATTGGCATGACTGCTTTGCTGACTGTCACCGGAGGCCTTGTTGCAGTGATTTACACAGACACTCTGCAGGCTCTGCTCATGATCGTTGGGGCACTCACACTTATGGTTATTAGCATAACAGAGATTGGCGGGTTTGAGGAAGTTAAGAGGAGGTACATGTTGGCCTCACCCAATGTCACTTCCATCTTGTTGACATACAACCTTTCCAACACAAATTCTTGTAATGTCCGCCCTAAGAAAGATGCCCTGAAAATGCTGCGGAATCCAGCAGATGAAGATGTTCCTTGGCCTGGATTCATTCTTGGCCAGACCCCAGCCTCAGTATGGTACTGGTGTGCTGACCAGGTCATCGTGCAGAGGGTCCTAGCAGCCAAAAACATTGCTCATGCCAAAGGCTCCACTCTTATGGCTGGCTTCTTGAAGCTTCTGCCAATGTTTATCATAGTTGTCCCAGGAATGATTTCCAGGATACTGTTTGCTGATGACATAGCTTGCATCAACCCAGAGCACTGCATGCAAGTGTGTGGAAGCAGAGCAGGTTGCTCCAATATTGCCTACCCACGCCTGGTGATGAAGTTGGTTCCTGTGGGCCTGCGGGGCTTGATGATGGCAGTGATGATTGCTGCTCTGATGAGTGACTTGGACTCCATCTTTAACAGTGCCAGCACTATATTCACCCTTGACGTGTACAAACTCATCCGCAAGAGTGCAAGCTCTAGGGAACTAATGATTGTGGGGAGGATATTTGTGGCTTTTATGGTGGTGATCAGCATTGCATGGGTGCCAATCATCGTGGAGATGCAAGGAGGACAGATGTACCTTTACATTCAGGAGGTGGCAGATTACCTGACACCCCCAGTGGCGGCACTCTTCCTTTTGGCAATTTTCTGGAAGCGATGCAACGAACAAGGGGCTTTCTATGGTGGAATGGCCGGCTTTGTTCTTGGAGCAGTCCGTTTGGTATTGGCCTTTGCCTACCGTGCCCCAGAGTGTGACCAACCTGACCACAGGCCAGGCTTCATCAAAGACATCCACTATATGTATGTGGCCACAGCATTATTTTGGGTCACAGGACTCATTACTGTAATTGTTAGCCTTCTCACACCACCTCCCACAAAGGAACAGATCAGAACCACCACCTTTTGGTCTAAGAAGAACCTAGTAGTGAAAGAGAGCTGTTCTCCAGAAGATGAACCGTACAGAATGCAAGAGAAGAGTATTCTGAAATGCAGTGAGAACAGTGAGGCTATCAACCACATCATTCCCAATGGGAAAGCCGAAAACAGCATGAAGGGCCTTCAGCCTGAAGATGTGAATCTGTTGGTGACCTGCAGAGAGGAGGGTAACCCAGTTGCTTCCTTAGGTCATTCAGAGGCAGAAACACCAGTAGACGCATATTCCAATGGGCAAGCGGCTCTCATGGGTGACAAAGAGAGAAAGAAAGAAACAGAGGATGGAGGCCAGTACTGGAAGTTCATAGATTGGTTTTGTGGCTTTAAAAGTAAGAGCCTCAGCAAGAGGAGTCTCAGAGACTTGATGGAGGAGGAGGCCGTTTGTTTACAGATGTTGGAAGAGACTCCAAAAGTTAAACTAATACTAAATATTGGACTCTTTGCTGTGTGTTCGCTTGGTATTTTTATGTTTGTATATTTCTCCTTATGAACGTAAGGATATGGTGAGACACTAACTTAAGAAAATACTGGTCTTTGGAAAAAATTATGTAACTGTTGCATCTCTCAGGCATTGTTTACGCTGTAGGTTTTAGCCAAATTTTACTTAGCAGAAAATCACCTATTTGCAAGACTTTATTTTCCCAGATAGATGAGAGTAAATCTTCAACTTACGTGAGGCAAAACATGTTTAACAGACAGAATTGTCCAAATGTGGTTTAAAAGTTTCCATACCAAAGTAAGGGGAGACCAATTCTCATAGAGCAGTTAGAGCAGAATGAATGTGGTGGTATCGTGAATTTATGGTATACTGTCTCACTGCCCAGTCTCAGTAGACCTTCTTATCCTGAAGTAGAAGATTTGCTCATTTGTGTTTTTTCTGTTTCTGTAATTTCTACTACCATTTTTAAAAATCTTGAATTCTTAAACATTGTATAATCAATTACATACTAAAAATCTAATGTGTTTGTGTGGTACTTGTTTCAGGATAAGTTAGTTTGCCAGGTTCATTTTTAGCATGAGCCTGTGACTTCCAATTGCCAAAAGAATGGAAGAATGCTTTCCTGTAGGTATTTTTATACCTCCAGTATATGGAATGTTAGGGAGAAACTTTGTTCCTGTTTCTTTTTTTCCCTAC